CGATTCTGTAGAGTTGAAGTTTGAGCTCACATTCGGTGAAGTTTCAAAGTTTTTAAGGCTTTTCTCTGCAATAAGGAAGAGAGAGTTCAGAAGAAATGATAGAGGAACGTAGATTTTGAAAGTGAAGTGAAATTTTCATACTAGAAATCTCTTAAATACCCCTAAGCACCGCGCTCTCTCGCTTGAGTGAGGAACACTTCACTTGAGCGAGATCTGTAGATAATTGTTTTCTAACATTTTTTTGATATGCTTGCTTGAGCGAGCTCTATCTCGCCTGAGCGACTCAACTCGTCTGGGCTAGATCGTAGCTCGCCTGAGCGAGAATACTCTTGCTTGTGCAAGGTGATAGTTGGGCTGAATCTATCATATCTCGCATGAGTGAGATGGCTGTGAAATAAGATATTTCTGGGGGCGCAATCTCGCCTGATCGAGATTCCCTGCACTAACCTATTCTAATACTCTTCATAATACACTACTAACACATCTTAATGTTATTTAATATAAAATAAAACATAATTTTCTAAATAATGAAAAGAGGGTGTTACACGGTGGTTTTTCAAATATTTTCTGATATGCTCGCTTGAGCGAGCTCCATTTCTCCTGAGCGAGATGTCGTCCAGAGAGCAAGATGTTTTTCCTGTGAGTCCTTACCTGAGCAAGATCTCAGCTTGCCTGAGTAAGATCACTCTCGCCTAGGCAAGGTGACAGTTGAGCTAAATTTATCCCATCTTGCTTGAGCGAGATTATCCTAAAATAAGGTGTTTCTGGGCGCTTAGTCTCGCTTAAGCAAGATTTCCTGCACCAATTTCTTCTAAAAACTCTTCATAATTCACTCATAAAAACATCCTAATACTATTTAACATTAAATAAAACATCATTTTCTGAATTATGAAAAAGCGGGTGTTACAGGCATAGTCAAGAGTTTAGTCGAAAAATGAGTGTGAGACCATGTGACCCATTCGCCCTTAGACAGAATGTGTGCATAAACAGAAATGTCACTCACCACCCTATGTTTCCTTTAGATATCTTATCATCTTCAGACTCTATAACTCCAGTGTATATATATAATTATTTACACCATATGCATTCAATTCTCATATTCATTCCTTAGTCCAATTATAAAATCATGCTCAATAGCACTTCAAGACCAATTACATATTGCTCATATCACTAACTCACGATCTTAATAATCACGTCATTCAATAAATATCATCAACACTTGCTCAACAATAATATCATGCTTTCTCATGATACAATTCATATGAACATAACATAATTAGTTATTTAACAATCAAACATATATCTATCGACAATCTTTCTTTATTAAATCTTATTACTCACACATATATCATCAGAAAATGCTATACAAACATGCTTTCCTGAGCTCAACATATAACCCATAATATATAATAATAAAATATAGCTTCCCTTATCTTAAAATGAAGATCAATATATGTATGGATGCTGAAGAACATTCAAAGATGGCACTTTTACCTAGATAACATAAATTTATCCCTTAAGAAAAAGATTAAAAAAAATGAACAGTAAAAACACGATTAAACATAAGGAAACTTACTTAGGATCGCGTGGAACAAATAAGTAATCACAAATTTGAGAAGAAATCAATGTTTTGAGGGATTTTGTTTGTTAGAGAAACAAAATTTGGATGTGAGAGAAAGTGAAGAAAATGAAGTTTTCATGCATGAAAAACCTTAAATACACTCAGAATCACAACATTCTTGCTGCAGTGAGCATTTCTAACTCTCTTAAACCTTAAATACCCTAAACCTTAAACTTGAATTGAAGGTTAAAAATTGAGTTACAGAAAAATTGATTGTTTGGACTAAATTTAAGAAGAATCCATCCTAACTCTCTTATAATATTGAATTTTACTTTGTTTCAATTTGTTTGCTTTATTATTTAATAACCATAAATATTACTTTAAATAATTTTAACTTTGTGAATTAGCCCTTGACTTCAGTCTATATTTAATAAAGCTCATTTGTTTCAACTTTTTGATTTTTATATAGTCATTGTTAGGTGTATTTTGTAAATATGGCAAACGCCCCATGTTTTCATGCTGAATATTTTATCTTTATAGGACAATAAGTGAATTCTTGCTCAAGCAAAAAATAACCAGAGAGCAAAGTTTGCTACAAGATTTCTTGCTCAAATTGTCACCCAGTGCACCATTTCTCATCCAGATTCTTGCTCAGGTGAGCCAGTTCTCGCTATCCTAAATTTTTACAAATATTGGTACAAGGCCTTTATTTATACATATTTCATATAGTAATTTAGAAACTGTTTATCAAAACAGGTGGGACTCAAAATAATATTTGTATGACCAAAATAATTATATCACAAAAGCAATTTAAGTCCCAGAGTAACCCCAAAATACATCCCAACACTGAGAACTCGATGCTAGTCATTCCCATGCTAGCTCTCAATCTATGCTAATCCTCGGAGTCAAGATCTATAGATCCCCTGAGTCAGCCATAACCTCAACCCATGTGACTCATTGCTCGATAACTCAAGTTGACCTTTCAAGATGATCATGGCCGTGGTATGTAAATAGATATGTGAATGCTGCTAGAGTTCTAACAATTAATACCTCTATAGATATAGGTACATAGAGTATTGTGTATTCTACTCAAAGGAAAATCAATAGAGATGCTGTAAAATAGATCCATTTCTAACATGATAAAAGTCCTAGGTACATTATCGACATGAACAACAAACTTAAAATAACATGTCCTTTGATACTCGTTAAACACACAATTAAGCCTATTATGTACAGAACTATATATTAGTCTAATTCTTTCCTGATGCTTCGTCATCCTGATTTTCTGAAAATACTAGTAAGGATGAGCATCTACTTTATAATTTAAACATAACACTAATTTAAAGACTAACATTACAGTATAACCATAATCATAGAACAAAAGATAACATCAATTTCGACAACAATATATTACATACACATATTCTATTACAAGTCATTGTATTCCCCTTTTTCATTTATGTACTCCCAATGCACTATGATTACAAATATACGATGCCTCTAGCAGTTCTTGAGGTCTTAACAACTAGGTAAATAGTCGCCAGTTAAGCTATGCATACGAATACAACGTATATAATAAAGGCCCCTTAGCAAATGTATATTCAGGAGTCTAGTCAAGAAACGAGTGTGAGGTCATGTGGTGCATTCGCTCTTAGAAAGAGTATGTACAAATATACGAATGTTGCTCATCACCCTATGTTTCCCTGAGATTTCCCATCGTCTCCAGACTCTATACCCTCAGTGTATCTCTATAACTATTCACACTAGATCCATTTAGCTTTTTACACTTATCCTATACTCCCTTTCATACTAAACTCGTCACTCAAGTAAAAAGTCGTGCTTAGTAAAGCACTTTCGAACTAAGTTCCAAACAAGTATACTACTCGAACATATGATTAACACCCTAAATCAACCAAACATACTTTCACAACAAAAGTACTCTCATGGGTAGAAAATATTTATTATGCTTAAAATCACAAAATAGAGCCTTCCTTATCATGAAACGAAGTTTTGAAAGAGAGTTTGTAAAGGGTTATGGTGAAAGAACCAAGCTATTCCTAGGTGTCACAAAAGAGAGCATTTTGAGAAGGGAAAACATAGAAAACAACCAAAAAGAGAGAACAAAGCTCCAAGAACTTACTTGGAGTTGATTGGTGGAGTTTTTGAGCTCAGATTCGAAGGAGAGTTGAGATTTTAGGTGGTGATTTTTTTTCAGAAGAGAGGGTTAGGGGTCGAGAGAACTAGGAAGAGCTCAAAACAAGGATTATAATCCAAGTTTTCTAAATTAAAAACCTTTAAATACTCATTGACTTGCGATATTCTCGCTAAAACAAGCCACCTCTCGCTACTGTGAGCCCTTCTCTCGCTGTAGCGAAAAAACCAGACAAATTTTACTTTGATGTCTGTCATTCTAGGTACAGCGAAAGCATCCTTATTGCAGTGAGAGAATACTCGCTACAATAAGAGAGTGTCAGAAAACCTTATTTTGAGAGCCCATGTTTCACTATAGTGAGATATCCTGCAGCTTATACCATTTAACTCTCCAAAACTCAATTAATTTCATACATACAATCAACATTCAATAATAATAAAAAAAAACTAGGATGTTACACGAAGGCCATTCTCGCTTAAGCGAGAAAACTAGTAAAAAATCTTGTATGAATTTTGCATTTCTCTCTCAAGGAGTATGGTAGTTCTTGCTTGAGCACTTGAAAATCTAGGCAACTTCAGCAAATCTTCCTCATCTTTAAAAATCATAAAAAATAAAAAATAACTCCAAATCCAGCAAACTATATATTTATTTTGAAGCCCTATATGTGTAGAATCTAATGCAACTAGAATAAGTCAAAAATAATATTTGTAGAAAAAATTATGATTAAAAAAGTAGACAAAGGTCAGCGTAGCTGAAATACAAAATTAAAACATTAATGCAAAATAAGCTCAAATCATTTCTATTTATAAGAAATGGTTACACCTCATCAAGTCTTTACCCTTAAGAAAATTTACACAAGAAAAGTGGATCAAATATCTTTTATTATTTGACAAAATTAAAGTTAAAATTGTTGAATATAAATGACATGGACTCAAATGCATTAAAATGTAAATTGTAAGAAATTTAAGTACAAAAGCAAGAAATATGCATTTACATTTAATTTATGTTAATATTGCTTTTGTTATCTGAGTCTCAAAGCATGAGAATTATTTTGGATTTCAACTAATTTGGAAAAAGTTGGTTGAATTCACTTAAATTCTCAAAATAATTGCTTTAAAAATCATTTGGAGTTTATATCAAAATTCTCTCAATGCAATTATTTTTCTGTTTACAAAAATCAGATTAAATTACAATACATCCCATGCCATTTCTAAAACTACAAAGAAATGAAGGTACCAAAGAAGAAACTTACAAAACTATATTAAAGGGAAAAAACAATAATTAAGCTTAATATCTGTACGCAATCTTTAGAATGTGAGAACTAAGCTTCTTTGGTTGGGAGAACATGACCATGTGATCTGAATCTTTTATTACTTTCACTTCAGCATATGGACCACTTCTCTCAATTATCCACATTTGCGAATCCTCTCTTATGAATTTATCTCTTTTGCTGATTATGTACACTTTTGGAACCATTCCATTTCTTTGCTTAGTAACTGCTGTTTCTTTAGACAATGCTTCATCATCATTAAAGAAAGATTGTGGTCTCACCAATGATAATGCAAGCGTCAAATCCTACACATATTATCAATGTAAGATAGCTTCATTATATGTAAAAATCACCTGTTATAATGTGATGGGTCTTAATATATGCATCTTAGTGATGGGGATATATTATAATTTATAATAATTACTTTAGAATTTGGTTTTTTAGGATGATTTATGTTTGCTTGATATAAATAAAAAATAAATAAATTTACATTAGCAGTTTATCAGAGTTAAATTCAAAATTTTGCCTAAATCATGATTTGGAACTTCTTATAACTTGATTCACCTGTTTTTCTTAGCTAAACTAAGACATTGAAAAATATTTTCCTAAAAAATAATTTTATTTTTTAAAACTAAAAAGGTATAAATTCAATTAAGCAAAAATGATTACCTGAGAAGGTGATAATTGATATAGCTTAGATGCCAGCAGTTTGGGTCCAAACAAGAGTGAAGTTGGAGGTTTGTTTGGCCCATCAGAGAAAAAAGTTTGGGCATCCAAAAAGGAACCTGCTCTTTTTACCAGCTACACAACAAAAAAAGAAAAAACAATTATTTTATTTAAAGGTTTTAGCTAGTTTTTTTCTTCAGAAGGTTTTATTTAGTTTATCAAGGAAAAAGAGTGTTAGCTAATCTTCAAAACTAATATTTCTTTGTTCACTAACTTTCAATGTGCTAGTTAACTTTCAAAATTAATTTAATGCAATATCAAACTAATAGTTGCATGAAGTCACATAAGAATGAAGCCATTCAAAACAAAACCTTGTTTTCCACATTTCAATTCATTCCCTAAAATTCTTAGACAATGCACTCACATCCTTTGGAACATGTAAGAGTTTCCTTGAATCAAATTTGTTCAAATTTAGTATGATGTTTTTTTGGTTCAACTTTTTCGATACAGTCATAACCCAAATAACAATGATCGAATGTATTAAATAAAATGTTTAAAATTTCGCATAAATTATACTACACAAAGAATCATTAAAGTATGTGAATCAATCTTGATCTAAAAAAATACAATATCCAAACCTAATTTTAAGTTAACTTCAAGCCAATATTATCTAAATAAAAACAAATTTCAATTTTCGTTATTTCAATAAAAAGAATATACATTCTGAAAAAATACGATTCAGATTAATTAAAACTAATTATACTCAGCTTTAAATTAAAGTAAGGGAGAAAAAGAAAAAGAAAAAAAAAAAACTAAGTACCTCTTGATTAACAACTGTGGTATTGAGGGTTTCACTAATGACGAATGCAGTGACAAAAATTGCAACAGAAATTTTCTCAGGAAACTTTTCCATAGCAACAGATGTGGATATGCCACCAAGACTATGACCCACCAAAATCACCTTCTCCTTTGGAGGAAGAGATTTCATGAATGTCATCAAAGGTTCATAATATTGTGAAATTGAACGAATCTCTTGCACCTGTTCTGGATTAATGCCAGAAGCAGCCATATCCAAAGTTGTAACATTATGACCAGAAGATTTTAACATAGTCACCACATTGTACCAACACCATGCACCATGGCCTGCTCCATGAACTAGCACAATGTGCTTCCCCTTAACACAAATGGAAAAAGAGAGGAAAAATAACACCAGAATAAACAAAACGTTCCCTCCCCTTTTGAACATCTTCCAAAATTTGACCTTTATCTTTCACATATTGATTTGAGAACCATTGTTCCTTTATATATGTAATTGGTGTTTGACCAACTATTTTAATATTGAATTGTTCTTTATATATTTAATTATGAGTTGGCTTTTGGGTTTTAATATTCATATATTTCATTAAACAACATATGGTTTTATACTCGAGACATTAATTAACTAAATAAAAGTACAAAAGTGACAGCAAGAAAGTAAATATTTGTTTAAAAAATTATCATATGGCACATCAATGATATAGCAACCCAAACAATTATCATATCGCAGACGACAATAGACATATCAGCAAACATATAATAATAAAAAGAACATCACCTGATTCCGATTCTAATAAAAAAAATAATATTCTTAAGTTATTTCATAAAGGTGTTCGATAACAAAGTCATAGACTCCAAGTTGTTTCATATATTCTTCATTCCATAACTAAAACGCGCATACTTTGAAACACTGTGATATAAGGTTTCGAGAAGTCTCAATGTAAAAATGAGGTTTGGACGGTGAAATTGAATAATTGAGGCTGCGACGGGACTAATTAAAAGACATATAAAATAGATGTGAAAAATAAAAGGTGTGGTGAGTTTCCTAATTATGATTAGAGTAATCTAATTTGGTGATTTTTAACTTTTTGGGTCCATTAACTTGGTGAGTTTAGTTGTAGCAATTTAGTGTGTTAGATTTTTTATTTTTTATTTTTTTTAAATTCTTACGGATTTTCACGAAGCTAATTTTTGGTTTCAGAGTCTAGCGTAGGGAGGACCTAGAAGATGAATAAACAAATAAGGAAGCTTTGCACGTTAAGAGTTGAGATTAATTTTGATATTATGTTAATATAAAAGTTTGAACTCAATCTAAAAAAGTTATGTTTTCTCTCCTATTTTTTGTATAATTTCCAAACATTATGAAAATATGAGTTTTAAAGTAGTTATTATACAATATTTTAAAAATATATAAGAATTTATAATTCATGATAATGTAAACTAATATATTATTAACATATTTTAATTAAAAATTGTAAAGATAAAGTTTAATTATATAATATCATATCTGTCTTATCAAATTATTATTATTTATTTAACGAGTCTCATTTATAATCTAATAAAACATATATAAATGCTATTTGATGATAAAAAATGAAGTACTTGTATGGCAAAGGAGAAATAACTTACACAATTGAATGATGAATATGCATGCATGCTTTAGCAGAATCCCTAAACACATTGCTACATAGCTCCGGCCTAAGTTTGCATTTAGTCATTAACCACGTTAATATATCATGATTCATCATTATTCATTATAGGTTATTATATTAATTTCATAACTTAATTTGCTCCATGTTATTGAATAATACTTCTAGCCTTGGTAAGCTATTATATTTTTCACTTGTGGCTTACCTTGTGTATTTAGGGTGGATTTATTAAAATGGGCTTTTTAAATTTATTCTAATAAGTTTTATAATCAAATTTTATTATAAAGACTCATAAAAATTATTAAATAAAAAGAGTTGGTAATGAATGATACCTTAACGTTAAAACAATAGTCTACTTAACATAGTTAATTCCATATGAAAAGAATAGAGAATGAAAAAGAGTACAAGTTGTACACGACACATCAACAAATAAAAATCAGTATTTGTGGGCAATTTCTAGTAAGATGGAACAAAGTTGTTTTGGATTGGAAAACATGACCATGTGATCTGAATCTTTTCTCATTTTATCCTCAGCAAAGGGAGCAATTCTCTCAACCATCCACATTTGTGAATCTTCTGTCAACAAATAGTCTCCTTTGCTGATGATGAAAACTTTGGGTATCTTTCCATTTTTGTCATTTGTAATTGCTGTTTCTTTCAATAATATTTTATTATCACCAAAGAGATGACAAGGTCTCACCAATGATAACGCAAATGCTATATGTTTTGAGGTTGAATCTATCTTATCAGGGATTAAACTAATTAATTAATTTTATTAATTATGAGTAATACGCTTAAACAGGTATATATCTAAATACTTGAGCTGTCAAAAAGTTCAATTGGCCCAGTCCTAGTGGGTTAGGACTAAAAAGTTCTATGGGCCAAAAAGTCCCATAAATCAAAAGCTCTATGGGCCAAAAAGCCCATTGAATCAGGGTTAGAGCTAGGGCTTTTAGGATCAAAAAATTTTAACAATTGCAATTTTTCAACTCAAATTTAATTTCATAATTAATTATTAATGCAATAACAACAAAATAGAACATAAATAATGAAATTAAATTAGAGAATGAAATTGAAATTTTTCTTAAAAGTAGAAGATAAAAAAACAAATTTTGCTTAATTAATATGTTATTTATTAAATATTATTTACCAAATAAGTATTAATTATTAAAAAATTATAAAAAATATGACAAAAATAATATTAAAGAAAAAATTATATAAATAATATTCTTTCAACAAATATTTTTATTTTTTATTCTTTAACTAGTATTTTAAAGGTGCTAAAATTATTAGTTATCATTTTTATTATATATATATATATATATATATATATATATTAATTATGTATCTTGAATACTATTTACTGTAATTTAAATTTTTCTAACATAATTTTTAACACGTCTTATTACTCACCTGAACGTCAAAAATATTTTTTATTATATTTTTACTTTGGTTAGTTTAATGGTTTACAATTACATCAGGAAAAAATAAAAAAATAAAATAAAAAGGAAAAATAAGATTAAAAAATGTATTGTTGGAAAAAGTAAATATATATATATATATATATATATATATTTAAATAAATAAGAGAATAAAAAATAAGTTACATAAAATAACTTTATATGTAACAGTGATGATAATAAATTTTAGTTTATCTAGTTTTTAAAAAAAATTATATTTTTAATGATTTTTATATAAAAATGATTAATAATATAATAATTTTTAAAAATCACATAATTTCTAGTAAAAAAAAATTAAAAGGTAGCAAAAGACGTAAAATATTCGTCCAACTAGTTACCACTGTAAAGTGAATTTTGGGAAGGCAAAAGACGTTTTTATATATTCATTTTGGAGTAGGGTGTGTATTCAAAGGAACAAGAGAAAGTTAGTAAGAGATATAGTAAAAAAGGAGAAAAAATAAATTAAAAGGTCACAAAGATAAAATGAAATGTAAAACGTGTAAAAAATCTTAAAATACTTAATCATCTAAACTGACCAACGACATGAGTAATCTAGTAAAAAAAAAAATCATTATTGTAAACTAATAATTACAAAATTTTATATAATACTTTATAAACCATTTATAACATTAATATATGATTAGATAACTTTAGAGATTTATGGATATATTTAAATTTTATTTAATTTTATAATATAATTATATTTGATATTATTTTTATGATAAAATTTTAATATATTAAATAAATAGTTTTATATTTTTAAAAAAAGTTTTTATATTTTAAATATAATTTTTAATTTATTTAAATAAAATAATTTAATAAATATTGTAAAAAAATTGATAAAATAGTTATTACTTACTTTATAAAATAAGTGGTTAGCCCAACCCTAACTCTGACCTCAGCCCACTATTTTCTTCATTTTAGGGTTTAGGACCAATATAAACCCACTAACTATAGGACTTTAAAAATTATAGGGCTATATATAGGGTTAATAAGGTAAGGCTCAGGGCTTTAGCCCATTTTCACAGCTTTACCAAATACATATAATCCAAACACCATCATTCCTTACCTAATCAATATCATCAATTAGCAAAATCATAAGAAAGCATGAGTTTAAACTCAACCAAGAAAACCCTATTTTAAACATCCCCTTATTCGTGCTTCCTTATTTCTTGGATTAGGTATCTCTTTGTAGTAATTTGGTTTTATGGAATAAACTTTACTAGCTCTTTAGTTATAGATGCTTATCATTTTAATTTGTAAAATATTTATTTTACTTGATAAAATTGCAAAGTATTATTCACTTTAATTTCTTTAATTATACTATACACTAACATTAAGAGTTAAATTGAATATCCTTTACTGAAATTAAGATTAAAGTGATATGTATAATTTTAGGGACTAAAATAAAAAAAAAAAAAATTCCTATAATCAACTCTTACGTTTGATTTTGAGTTATTTATCTATATAAAATACCAATTTCGTTAGTTTTCATGAGATGTGAGTGTAATTTATTTATAAATTAAAAAAATTATAAAAATAGGAATAGCATAAATTTAGGATTTCAAGAAACTATCTTGTAGGAGGGGCACTGCGAAGCTCTGCTAGGGCTTTCTAACCCTTAGGCTCTGGTTTGTGGGACAACACTCAGAGGGAGGCTTGTCATTATGGAAGCTCACTATCTTCGTGGCTCAAGAAGATGGAGCACTCAGAGGCAAAGAAAAGGTCTAACGAGGAGTAAGATTTGGTAGATCGAAGCAAGAAAAAGGTGAAGGTCGATGTTTTGTTTCAGAATAAGGACAACTAAACAAACATGCAAGAAGATATTGCAGTTGAAAACCTTCAAGTGAGCTTGCAAGAAGATAAGTTTGATGAAGACCCCGCAACATAGGTGTTATCTGATCATATTTTACCTCTTCCTATCTTGTATAAGCTAAAGTGTTAGAATCTAGGAATTTTAGTATGATCCCGCAACACAGGTGTTATCTGATCATATTTTACCTCTTCCTATCTTGTATAAGCTAAAATGTTAGAATCTAGGGATTTTAGTATGATCCCTGGGATGATGATATTGTTAAAATGGTCATTGAAGAGTTTAATATTCCCCCTGAAAATGATGAATTGATTGTAAGCCCTAAAAATAACTAAGTAACATATCCTGAACTTGAAGTTACAAACAATGGTGTTCCCCATGGAAACAGACCCTAATAGTCAAATTACTAGGCAGATCTGTTAACTTTAACTATCTTAATACAATAAATAAATAACCATATAGGGAAAGAACATGTCTTTAAAGTTTTGGATTTAAATAATGAATTTTT